ATATATAATAAAAATTTATATATTCTAAGAGTAAGTCTTAATAGATTAATTTCATTTAATAATTAATGTTTTATATCAAATTTTAATTATCTTATCATTAAATTAAAAGTTTTTAATGTATAAATAAAATTTTACAATATTTGAAAACTATTTGATATTTTGTTTTACTAATTCGAATTGATAGATATTCATAAAATTATTTTATACATTAATTTGAATCTATGTAATAAAATATCATATAATTTTAAAACTTTTTAAGAATATATATACTTAATCTATATATTAAAAAGTATAATTTAATAATCAAGTTATTAAAACTTAATGTAAAATATAAATTATTTAGTGAAATAAATATATCAAAATTAAGTAGATTTCTCTCTCTATGTGTAAAAGTTCGACGTCCGAGCACTTGCTAAGTTACCTGAGTGATCTTGAAACGAAAATAAAACCATCAAATCTGTAGTTTGTTTTTTTTTTTAGTAAGAATTTAATTTGTAAAAAGATCGTATTAGTCATTAGTTTATGCTCGAAGTGATATTCCACTCTTTGGAATAGTGACAGTAAAGTTTTATCTTAAAAATCTTATAAACATTACTCAAATTCCTTATCATTAATTATAGATGAGTTTGTTTAATTTAAAAAAAAAAAGCACTTTTTAAAATAAAATAAGTAATTTTCATTTTCTTTATATGTTTGTCTAAAGTTTTTTTTTTTTTTTTTTTAAATAAGTGGTTTTCTATTTTTTTAAAGAAGTAATTCCTATATGTTTTTTTTTTATAAAAAAAGATGATTTTTTTAAAAACACTTTCTGTTTTTAAGTTCAAACAAATGGAATCTAATTAACTTGATTTTAATGGATTCTTAAATACGTGTATTGGACAAATGAATTCTTACATAAAATAGATAAATAAACATCTAAGTTTTATGTTACTGAACATGCAGTTGGGTGGATTGCATGTTCTTCTCTTTATTTTAATATAAACTAGAACCAAAAAAGTGCCGTATGATTTATTAATCTTAGGTTAAAAAAATATAAAACAAAAGAATGGCTGTTAACTTTCCTCTTGATTTTGATTAAAGAATAAGTCGATGGGAAGATATACAGAGATCGCTTGTGGAAAAAGGAGAGAGACGGAGAGTACTTTTTCTACCAAACTACCAGCTAAGCGACAAATTAAGCTCCATGCATGTGACCAAAGATTTAATTATTTGTAAATCAATCAAATAAATTAACAATAAGATGAAACTAATCATTTGGTCATGCATAGGCAATAACGGGAATCGCAATACTTTACTTTAGCTACTTTCCTATTTGTTTGATTTGATCAGTAGAATCTGGTCAGTTGTACGGTTTACAAATTTATGTCGATGTTTTCGGAGTGTTGTGATTTTTAGAATATTTTAAAATATATTGTTTGGTTTATCATTCTTTGTAGTGTTTATATTTCAACTTCTTTAAACAATGCATGTAAAGGTATGAACTCATGCTCACGAAATTGGGTTATATACTTATATGGACACTGCTGCACTGCAAAACGTTTGATTTTCACTCCCTAACTTTTGAAACACCCTCAGGTTGAATTATTCTTGATCTTTAGCTTCACTTACTACATGGAAAAGTGAGTGTAATATTTTGTTCCTATAATATTCTCAGTGAGCTGAAATTATAATATTTTCCAATCAGTTACGTACATGTTAAGGAATGAATGAATGAGATATGACAATTATTTTTTACGGCTCAAACTTAACTTGCAAGTTGCAACTATGTTAAGAGATTCTTTTAGCAACGGATATCATTTATAAATCCCAATGTACAAAATTTTGAACTAGCGGAGTGTTAGCATCATAAATAAAATAACCCTTAGCTATTTTAGTAAATTTTTTTAAATATTATTTCGTCATCCTTTTACAAAAGAAAACATTAGTTTTAGTGTGAACTGACAGGTTCGAACAGGAAATTATGTCTCTTGAGTGAGAATGTAAACAAAGCCTAAAAAAGAGTTCCATTGAATAATTGAGAGTTAAGACACGTCACTTGCTTTGGGCAGATTATAACTCATGATGACTATTGAGCATATGAGGGACCACCAGCACCCAAATTAAAGGACCAAAGGACCCAAACCAAGTAAAGGAAAATTGACTGATGAATGGAGAGGTAGTGATGATGACTAATGGCAATGGGTGAGGTGGCTAGCATAGCTACGAGTGTATTTGTGGAATGTATGTACAAGGCACAACGTGTTTCATGTAACAAGTTAAAACGATAAAAGAAGCAAAACGAGCTTGTGCGTGTGAACAAGAGAATGATTAGTTAGGAATACACACACAAAAAAAATGAAAGATAATAGGAAGAGGACGAAGATGAATATCCTCTTTCACAGTCACCGGTGTCTCCAAAATCATTACGCGTCCACATCACCCAGACATTCAACAAACAAGGACAAGAATAATTAGTATCTAATTGCTTGTAATTGGGCTCCACTTCGTCACACAAATCAAAGTTACACCTATATTCTCGCCCCTTTCTTAGACTAAATCTCTGTTTTTCTACATGTCCGATAATCATACTTTCGTTCTATTGATTAAATGTATGGCCAGGATATTAAAATCTTTGTTAAGAAATATGAGAATCCATAGTGCACGAGGTTTAGGTTTTGGGGGCTGAGAAAGTCGGCTATGTCTGGATAATTTTATTATTATGCCTTGGAATTATTCGTGTTTAAAGGTTAAGTTAAGTCATACCCCAAATTTTTTATTTATAAAATAATGAAAATTCTATATTTCGCCCAATGTTAAGAAGATTTAGATAATTTATATTAAGTTATTATTATATATTCTTGATAAATATATGAAAAAAAGCTTAATAGCCTTTTGTTCTATTTAGTTTTATAGTTATATGATTTTAATTCCTAAAATTTTAATTAAACAATTTTACTTTTTTAAGTATTGTAATTGTGTGATTTTGATTTTTTAAATATTATAAAAGTTTTCTTAGATTGACATTTTCAAAAACTTATTTTAATTTATCTATAAATCAATTTTAACTTATAAATAAACTTTGGTGTCAAAAGCTTATAAAGAAATTTAATTTATTTATATTTCTTATTTATTTTTATTATAAAAATATTTTTAGAAAAATTTATTCAAATAAATCATGATCGACTTTAGCAAAGTTCCTCCTTCTAAGTATTTTTATTCTTCTACAGAACTTAAATCGATATCTTGCCTATAATATTTTATTTAAATTCTACTCGGACGAACGAAAATTAAAAAAAAAAAAAGTTTAGATTTAAACCTATGTAATTTAAAAAGAGTTTTAAATTTTTAAAAAATTATTGTTTATCATAAATAAAGAAAATATTAACCAAAACTATAAATACATATTGTGTTAAATTACATTAACCAAACCAATCTAAAGGAGATTATAAAAATCAAATTATTTTGAGAAAAATTTCGGACCAAAGCACTCTCTTTCTTAAATAATCTTTTAAGTAATAAAATTATATAAATAGTTATTAAAGTATTAAAAATTCTGTCGATCCAGTCTTTCTATTGACATCCTTCACTAACTTTGAAGGATCAAATTGATTTTTTTTTTTTTTTACTTAAAAGATTATTTAATGTGATTTTGAATACCTGAAAATCTATTTATGTGATTTCATTATTTTAAAGATTACGAGAAGTGAGGGTGACTAAACATATGTTTTTTTTTCTTCATATTTTTTAATCAGAATTTTGCAATTATTTGTTGTGTTGATTGGGATGGCATGAGTAGTGGATGCGTGGGGACCAGGCTGGGCAATGGAAGGAGAGTTTGGGCCCATGAATAGTGGAATCTACTGACCCACTTGGGACAAGGACTAAGGTTGGTGTTCGTATGAAACCGTTGCACAACTGAACAACACATTACACTTCAATTACTCCAATTTCAATATTGCTTTCTCTGCGTGCAACCTAACCTCATTCATCCATTTTATTGTACGGCAAAAAACATCATTATCCTCACTCTCTCTCTCCTGGGATTGCTTGCTTCTTTTTTTTTTTATTATTTTATTTTATTATATATATATATATATATATATATACACACACAAGTCCTGTGGTTTCTATTACCAACCTCACTTGCATGAATTCTCTGTCTTAGTTCCCTCTCTCACGCTTTCCCTTTCTTCTTTTTCATTTCCTCTACCACTTAGATACATACACAAAAACACACCCTTTTCAGATTCTACCTTATAACCCAACTCTCCTTAGTCCGATTCTGATTGTGTCAATGGATCCTTCTAGTGCACTACCCGAGGTAGGAGTTTGGATGCATCATGCACATGGGTTACTCATTAATTTTTGCAAGAAACATATTCCTCCTTGCTTTTCATGTGATGTATATTTACCTTTATAGATGTGGTTGATTTTGTGTTTTAATTTTTAACCAAGGGCAATTTTGAAAAATGTATATGAATAAGGAAATGATCCATCTTAAATTAAACTGAACAATTGATCTTTCGCATTTACTATAATTTCCTTGCGCAATAAGAATGGAAAAGTTCTATCCTTTTTTCTTATTACATACGCTAGCAATCCATGCCTTTTCTACCAAACTGTAACTGGATATAAATATATGTGTGTATGCGTGTTTCGAATTCAACTCTCGCAGATGTGAGAGCAAATTAATTTATAACTTTCCCATATTCATCCTTGTGAATTACCTCTAATTGACTATCAACAAGATACTAGAATTCAAATATTAGCTGTGTTAGTCTTATATATACTTTTTGCGAGTGATTTATGAGTTTTTTTTTTATATAATTTCTTTACCCGTTTTCCATCATAAACTCTCCTTTCCTGATTATATATGTATACAGTACACATCATACATGATATTTGGCACTTTGTCCTCAACTATTTCATCCACACTCATAAGGTATAATATATTATGTTTCAGCAAATGTCTAGCGAGTCATCAATGGAGAACATGTTAGGCTGTTCAAAAGCTCAGCAAGAGAAGAAGCCAAGGCCTAATCCAGAAGAAGCTTTGAAATGTCCAAGATGCGACTCCACCAGCACCAAATTTTGCTACTATAACAACTACAGTCTTTCTCAGCCAAGATATTTCTGCAAATCTTGCAGAAGATATTGGACCAAAGGAGGAACACTGAGGAATGTTCCAGTGGGAGGAGGATGCAGGAAGAACAGAAGGTCATCATCATCATCAAAGAGGGCTCAGGATCAGAACTTCACACCCAATCCTAACCCACTCCCTCATTTGTCTTATGATTCCAATGACTTCACTCTAGCATTAGCCAAGTTTCAAAAACAATCAAGTGGCCAATTAGGTTACAATAGTGACCATGATCTTTCAATTTTGGGGAACCCCACAGGGTCCTTTTGTGATATTCTAGGCAATTCAAACATGAATCATCAACCCTCCTCAGCAAATCCGTCATTTTTTGATGCAATTAGAACTGGGTTCCTTGAAACACAAAATCATCTTCAGAATCTGTATTGTGTGTATGGAAGTGGGGACATGGGGGAGGTGGATAATGGAAATTCTGGTGGAGACATAATGATGCCTTATGATCATGTAATGAGCAATGCAGCATCTCAGTCAGTGAGTGTAACTAGCATGAAGCAAGAACTGTGTACTGGTAGAGATCAAAGTGAAAGGAGGGTGTTTGGGAGTTTCAATGGAGACACAAATTACATGGGTGAACTTGATTCAGGAAGAGCAATGAGTTGGAACAATTTCACTTCATCTTGGCATGGGATTCTCCGAAGTCCCCTAATGTAGACCCCTTTATGTCCTCTAATGTTTGACTAAAATTTCAGTCTTGATTAAACTGTCAATCCCATTGAGTAGTTTTGGGTTAATTGGGATTTGATGATCACTTGCATCCACTTTCTTTTCTTGTATTTTTTTTCCTCCTTTTTTAGTTCTCCAAAAGTGTCAAATTTTTTGTACTATTATCTTCTTATTGACGAATAGACGAATGAAATTCGAGTGAAATATGTAGAGCATCATTTTACTTATTTGACAGACTGAAAAAAAAAAAAAAAAAGGAATGAGAGTGATGTGTGCATGGTAATTCAATTTGTACAACCTGACCCCGAGCTCTCTAAAATATAAACAGTTAGAATCAATTTCAGACTTTCAGGATCTTTTGCTTTTGAATCAGTGGTGTTTTTTCAAGATATTCTACCATGCATGATTGTGTGTCTTATTATTTAAGTTAGGTAGGAGAACTTACTACTAATAACTGAAATTGGGTACATTGTTAAATTAAATTAAATTGAGATATCATCTTATATACTGAGATTATTCAATAATTTACAAATTTTATTTTATTTTAATTAATAAAAAATTATATCGGTATAATTTTTTTCGTAAATAAAATTTCTCATTTCTCAATTAAATTATGTAGCGAAAATTTGGTACTACTAATTAAGAACTAGGAGGAATTTATCGTGTTCATAGAAATTTGAATGACGCATGAGCGCCAAATACGGAAAGAAATTCGTGTCTCTGCCTAGACATTCGGCTGACCAAATCCAACGTAGGATTTGGGCGTGAGAAAAAACGGCCAGTCATCAGTTTGAAAATTATATGACTGTCAGAACGTAAAAATAAAAATATGAAGAGTAGTGATATATAAATGAGAAAAAAAAAATATATGCATAGGAGTATAAAGTTTTCTTATACTATTATTTAATTAATCACAAATTATCTGTGACCAAGTGGGGGCATTAAGTTGATAGGACTACAATTGGTGAATGGTGATGGACCACACTACATATTATGTGGTAGCTGGTTGACAAGCAGAAGACAAATTATCATGTAAAATAAGTTTATCAACTTTAATAATAATTATTTTAAAAGTTATATTAAAAACTGATTTTAATTATTTAACAATATAAAAAAAATTATACTAACAACATATTTATTAAATTTTATGAAATACTTCTATTTATTATATAATCTTTCTATACTCATATATCTTTATTTCTCACATTATCTCTCTTATCTTAATTATATTTCTTTTTCTTTTTCCGTCTCTAAGTACTAAATAACATTTGGTATCCACTGAAAAACGAGACCTGAAGCATAAAACAACAAACTATATGAATAATATAACAACTATATAAATGCTGTTAATTATTTATATTTCAACAAGTACTTTTATGGCATATTATAAAAGGAAGGAAAGCGTGAGAGTAAAAAAAAATTGAATTGAAAGAAAGTTAAAAAACAAAATATTTCTACAAAGTCAAGTTTTCTCTTCATTTTCCTTCTATTTTTTTCTAATTAAACAAAAGAAAAAAAATATATCGTAATCCACATTTTCTATTCTTTCTATTTTCTTCAACTAACCAAACATAATTAACATTAATGTGTTAAAAAATAAAATAAAATAAATGTATGTAACCGTTAATAGAATCGCAAATTCTAATAAAAACATTGTGGGTTTTTTTACAATCAATATTTTTTTTAATTTTATTATTTATCTTCACGAATTCAGATGTAATTTTTTTTTGGTCAACGTGTTCACTGGCGTCTCAAAACTGACAACTAATTCTAATGTAATTTAATCACTGTATACATGAATTTTATTTTATTTTTTCTTTTAACATTGACCACTACCCGTATTTAAATTAACTTTAAACTCACTTAAAAAATATAAAACTGACCGTCTCATTTCCCTCAGAGCGCAACAAGTTTGTGTACATATTGAGTTGGGCTTCAAATTCTCGAGATAAAAAAGCAAGTGATGGACCATTATAAAAGCTCAACGAGGCCCAAAAGTTCGGATAGTGAACCAGGAGATCCAAATTGAATCACCTGGCACTACCACCTCAAGTGCAAATGAAACATTGAAAATCTCTACCTACGCCACCTCGATTATCTCTTAAAGTTAGATAAATTTGAAACATGCTCTTTAAAGGAAAATGAAGAGAAGATGTGTTTCATAGTTAGTGAGGTTTTGCCTGAAATTTCATCAAATGGATAGGAAGAAACTAACATTGAGACAATGCTACTAAGTTACAAAGCATATATAATTCATGGATTTTCTAGATAGTAAAATGATGGATCGTATAAAAAGGCTCAATTCATTCAACTACTAGGCAGCTGTAGACAACGTTCACCAAACAAAGAGGGTATCGGTTAGACAAAATTGCATAACATAAACATTACAGTAACATAACATTGTATTGGACTAAAGAAGCAGGTCATGGATGAGTGACTATTTTTGAGGTTTCCTCCACAAAACCCCAATCTTCTTGAGCATGTTTCCATTTTTCTTAGTCTGAAAATCATCATCAAGCTCTTCACAAAAAGGTGTGTACTTATTCATTACAGAGTTATAGTTGTTGTCCAAAGACAATGACCTCTCAGCAAGCTTCCCATTGTTCCCTGCTGAGAGCATAGCAGCAGCAGCCTCTGCAGCCTTCCTCCATTGATCAGACTGCACCTTCAATCTTCTTAGTTCTGCTTCTATTATCGAATTCGCCGCTTGCGAGGCTTCCAACTGCTCCGCCACCCTCACCGCCTTACGGTTGCTCCTTTCGGCATCTTCCATCACAATACCAAGTCTCATAACAGCCTCACGTTCTGCAGCCTTGGCTGCCTCAAGTTCAGCACGTGCATACCTCTTACTGATCTCCAACTTCAGCATTTCATTCTCTTCAGATATGCTTTGCAGTGTTGTTTCCTTGTCCATCAGATCAGCCTTCAACCCGGCCACGCATTCGTCTAGTTTTCTAAGCTCCTTTCTAAGTTCATGTTCTCTTTGTGATGACATGTTCTTCTCAAGCTGCAAATTCAGCTTCTCATTCTCCTCTACAATGCCTTGCAACTCAGTTTCCTTATCCATTAGGTTTGCCTTCAACTCTTCAATATCAGTTTTCTTTCTCTTCAGTTCAGCCTCTAGCTCGGATTCCCTCTGGCTTGATTCTGATGTTATCTGTTCAATCAACTCGTAGGCTTTTGTGATCTTCACCGAACACTCTATCTGTTCTTCCCGGTATTTGGCCTCAGCAGTCTCTATGGCATACCTCAATTGTCCTACCTCAGACCTCAAAGAATAAATTTCTGCTTCAATGTGATTAGCATCCTCACCCTCACCCTTTTGTAATATCTCAGCTTTCAACTCCATGTTACCACCATCTGCAAGATTTACAGAATTGTTGCTTTTGTTACTAATGAGGCCAAACTCAAGTTTGCTTACTAGTGCCTCTAGTGAGTTCACTCGTGCTCTAGATTGGTCTAACTCCAAAGCAGCAGAGTTGTAGCCATGCACAGCTTTTGCAGCATCAGCTCTCAGGAACTCAACAGTTCTCTTTGCAGCCTCAAGTTGCCGCAAAGTCTCATTGACCAAAGCTTGTGCCTGAACTGACTCTTTGGAATCTCTGAGTTGGTTTTTCATGTTCTCTACAAGTGAAAGAGACTCTGCCAAGTTATCCTTCAAGTTCAGTAGCTCCACGTCTGATGATTCAGCAATTTGTGTGTGTGCATTCTCACAATTAGCTACCAATTCAAGCTGAACTTTGAGCTGCTGAATTTCATTGATAGCAGAGGTTAATGCAGCAGTGTTGTCTGAGAGTTTCTGTTGTGCAGCCCTCAGCTCAGATTGCCACGCCTTATCATGCTCTTCTATAGTTTTCTGGAGCTCAATAACACGAGCTTGTTCTGCAGCAGAGAACTTCAGAAGTTGCTGTTGAGAATCTTCAAGTTTCACAGATAGGGAAGCTAGTTGCTTCTTGGACTCTTCAGCATCTTGCTGAGCCTGCTTCTTGCCTGAATCAGACAAACTGAGTTGGTTCCTCACCACCTTCAAATCGTCTTTGAGTTGAGAAATCTGAGATTCCAATTCAGATATTCTGCTAGGACGCTTCCTCTAAAGCAACACAAAATTACAATGGTTTAGAATTCTGAGACAAATTTCTAACTGTTGAATAATTGTTATCAAGGTTTGTAATCCATGTGCTTCCAACATGGATTACAAAAACAAGTACAACAAAATCAGAAAAGACTAAGTAAACAGTAGAGGCTGAGAAGCAGATCAACCTAATATTTCATAAGTATTGAACAAACAATGCCATCACACATATAGAACCAATGATAAGTTATTAAATGGCAGTTGAGTAGCTTATTCTACCCACTTTATTAATTAATTCGAATACACCAAGTGTTCAAGAACAGATATCCTTTAAAAAGGCTTCTTTAATATCTATCTAACTTCTAACGTGCATTTGTACCGGAATTAAGTGCCCACATTATTAGACGCCCCATAATTACCTTCTATCAGTATATTATCCAAAAATAACAATGAAAAGAAGAATTAAAGCCAACTCTATACTAAGGGCCAGAATCAGTTAGTTGAGCAGAATGTGTGAGTTTTTATTGCAAAACTCTTGATACTAAGTTCGAATTTCATGAATAAAAAAAGCCAACTCTATGCCTTTAACTAATTAGTTAACACCACCTTTCCAAAAAGCAAGCCTTGAAAAAAAAAAACCATAATAACATCCTACAATTTCGGCAAAAAAATCAAAAGCTCTTTTAGTAAGCATAAAGCTTTGTTTTCTTTCTTTTTAAAAGAAAAAAAAATTAAAAAAGCACGTTAACTTCTAAAAAAAAGGCACTTTCTAATCAAAAGCACTTATGATTTTGTTACATAATAAAAGAAATGTTACCTCCGGTGCAGGGCTTCTGGGTGATCTACGATCAGTGATTTTGGGACTTCTCTCCTTTGATGTCTTATTAGCTTGGTTTAATGAAGATGCAGTGTCTAGTGTAGTAGGCCTCAGTTGGCGTCCACCACGAGGAGACACTTTCTGAGGCGCCTCAGAGGAGCTACTCCTGAAATCAGAATATCTAAGTGTTATGAATTATGATGATCATGCAAATCAAAGAAATTGCATTTGTAAATGCAAACGCGCATCTCTCAAATTTATTTTAGCAATAAAGACCAGCAATAAACGCTTTGCCTAATAAAGCAAAAGCAATGTCTTTAAATCACTCGGAAATCTGAACTTGCAAACTCATTAGAGTGATTCCTTTATATGGTCGAGCATAGAGTAGAGTAGATGTTCCAAAGTTCAAACCGTGAACAAATTTAAACAGACAAGATCCAGAATTAAAACGGATGTTAGAATTACTATTGTTGTAGAGTAATGAGTACTATAAATACGAGACTAATACTCCTGTATGTTACAAACAAGATTTATCAGAAGTAACGCTAATTTCATTAATAATTTAATTAATTCAAATTCAAAATTAAAACTTTCTCCAATCACAACATGGCATACTCAAGTAAATTTCTCTATGAACATTTATCGAAAATTAAATAAAAAAGTAAAAATAGAATTATTTTTTTTATAAATTAAAATTAACTTACACGTAAATTAAAAAATATATACTTCTATTTGCTTTTTCTTTAAGTATTTATAGTGAAACTTATTTGATCAATACTCTAAAACTAATATTATGATTATTGGTACATTCAATGGAGTACTTTCTTTTGGTTGATGCAATCAATGTAATTAGCGACTGGACTATCTGATGCTATTTCTCCGTCCAGAAAATATAATAATTGTCACCATAAAACATAACATTATAGCCATTTGAAAAATACAGTATGATGTAATATTGATGCAGCGAAATCAATTCCATTTAGAACAACCAAACCTTTGTTCAAATTATTATGATTATAATTAGTATAATAATTGGAAATAACCGCCCCGGGTCCCAATCTCCCATTCCGCAGTTAATGCCGCCAATATATGAAATGAAAACACATTTGAACAAAACATGATTAGTCTTTTGAAAAAATCAAAAGGAGTGACAAAAGCCCAGCAAACAACATAATTAACGTTAGAAACTTTATCTTACACATATACGGGAATTCCATGTAAGGTATGAAATTAACAAATACAAAAAAAAAAAAAGCATAAATAATTAAGATTCTTACTACCCAGTTTCCAGAATGTTTCAACACCATTGTGAAGAGTTGACAAACATTTGCTTATTCTGGTGCTAACCATGTGTAAACTTATAACTAGACCCACCAGTGTCGAACAAAGTTATATAGTACACAGTTTATGCATTAAAGCTTTATATCCTTTAGCAGAGTCTGTTCCATAAATACTATAGTAGTTGACATTTGAATTTGAAATATGATAAGTGCCACACAAATTAAGGTGAACAATATCCCTGTGATCGATTGAGCCTTTTCATAGCATTTAAAAAGCAAGTAGTACAACATTGAGGTAGGAAAGTAGATGGTGAAGCAATTGAATCTTACCTTGTCTTTTGGGTCTGCATGGTTTAACTGCCTTGTGTTCCAGGAAAGTAAAAGAGGTTAATAATTAGGACCTCACTAGCTACTTGAATGCTCCCTGACCCACAAGGACTATAACAGTTCAGAAAAATATCATTAACTGATGAGACAAGGGAATCCAATGTGAAGGTCAATGAAATTGGGGGGGAAATAAATAGGTTCACGCTGGATGAATGCACTTCTAATCATCACATATCAGATCATAAATGCACAAGAATTGCTTACAGCATCTTTCACTTTTCATTTCTAAAATTTACTCGTTTATTCCCCCCTTTGGACGTTTCTGAAGAATATATATACCTAAAATTGAAGAAATCATTACAAAATACTAACACGGCAGAGATTATGAGTACCGTTATAAAAGATAAATATAAAAAAAAAGCGAATTGGTATAACATGTGTCAACTACACATGAGAAAATTAAATTGAGTAAAGTGCATATTTTAAATAAATAGTTTACCTTTAAAAAAAATCATCCAAACAAACAAATCTTATTTTAATACTTGAAACATGTATGATAGATGAATATATGTTGTTTCTGTAAAGAAAAAAGTATGAACGACAGAAATAAGGAAGAGAAAATAAGAAAAAAATCGATACATGTTTAAAATATTTAAATAGAAAAAAAAAACCAACAGAAAATCATTCGATGCTTTTTTTTTTTGTCATATACTTCTCTGTTTTAAAAATCACTTGAAACAATCAATAGATTAGTCTTTCATCCATTTTTTTAAACTATATTAATAATATGAAATATATAATTTTATATGATGATTAATTTTCATTAAGAATTCCACTAGTCACTAAACTTAGGTTTGATAAAAAAAAATAAAAAATAAAAAAAGGTAAAAAAAATAGAGGGAAGAAAAAGAAACTTTTTACATCAAAATAATCAGCGCAACTACCGCTACCTTTGTAAATTGATGTGGTAACCACGCTCTAAAAGACAAAGTGTCTTTTTATTAGCCGATGATATGACTAGATCTTTGGGTCAAAAAAATCCCAGATTACATTTAAGAGAGACGTACAATTTCAAGAGAAAAGGATAACATTACAGACATGTCCAAATCTTTATATTAAACCAATGAGATACCGAATTTACCCATGTGTGCGAGTCATGCCCATTTATATATAATGGGCTTTTTTGTAATTACAATTGAAAGAAGAAGAAAAAACTTCTTACCCTTCCATTTAGCCGTGAAAGAAGGGCATTCGCATTGCCCATCCAATGAGTTATTATATTGTCTACACAAACGCGAAAACCAAATGATCACTTGGCTCTTAGACATTGACTTTTTCCCATGATGTTTTCAATGAGGAAGGAAATAATATAGACATGATGATGGCATCGGTGAGTGATTTTCTTTAAAAAATTACTTCACTTAAGGAAATTCATTTATTTATAACAAAGGAATCGAATCTAGATGAAACGAGAAAGCATCAGCAACACCACTAAAATCTGCAACAAAAGTAGGTAAAGGAAGATCCATCTTTTGAAATTAAAAATGAGAGTGAAGGAAGCACTATTTAAAGAAATATTCATTAAGCATATTAAAAAGGGGGAAACAAGCAAGCAACTAACAAAGAAAGAAAACAAATGAATTCCAGCTTTTTTAATAAAGATGTGTTTGAGAATAAGTTGAATTCAATTCAATTAGAGTTGGAAAAAAAAAATTACATTCACAATTTTTTACTTTCTTTTATATCAGGATTCATGTTTTTCGGATCAATATGAGATTTTAAACTGATATGTAAACATCACTGCAATGTTACATTCCAAAATGACCAAGAATAAGATTTTATTATGGATTTCAATTGTTCAAAACACATTTCCTTTGAACATATGTATGGAAAAACATAATTGGAAAAGAAGACAAAATTAATTATTTTTTTGACAAAAATTAGTTATTAATAAAATTGATAGATACTCTATAATAATATTATAGTTAAAAAAAATGATTAAAAAGGTAGGAGTATGAATGTGTTAAAACATAAAAGCTAGATACCTTGCAACTCCTGAAGTTGGAAAGAGAGATCCGCGTCAATGTGAGTTTTAATTTTAGCGTAACTTTTGGATATAAATAAATTATGTAGCAGTTTAAAGTGAAGAAAAGCGGTCAAAAAAGAAACGCAGAAAGAGGTTAAAGAAGCATGATAGCATCGTTTAGGTTCAATTAGTAAACTTTAATTTTGCCTGAAATTAAAATAATAATAAAAAAAGGAGCAGAAGGAGATGAAGAATTGAAACCTCTTAAGTTATAGGGATCCTAATGAAGCAGAGTTATGAGCGAGGAGATGTTGTGTTTGCAGAGTGTGTTGCGATGGTAATTAATTAAGCTGGATAACAAGTAATTAGAAATATAATGTTTAAGCAATGATCATAACGAGAATGGAAACGACAATGCAGAAGAAGAAACGATCGACATCATACCTGGAGTGTGAGCCTGTAAACATGTTGAGTTGAGTTGTGTGGTTGTTGAGAATGAGATTTCTGTTTGTCCTCTCGTGTGTGAATGTGTTGATTAACTAATAAGGAACAGTGATGAGGGAGGGGAGGGAAATAATAGGAAAGGAACAGACTCCTTAGTCCTTACACATTTGTCCTTTCACAACGTTAATTGCTTTCAACTACGACCTTGCGTCCGTCCGCTCCCACTATATGCGCACTAGGGTCTAGGATTTTAATTTAACCCAAACCACACACTTTGCTTTTTTTCTCCAAATAAACACTTATTTTGGCTCCTCACTTTCAAAGCTAATATATATTCTTACTACTGACAAATAAATTTCCTAACCCAAACCCATGAAATTGTTGTAACGTGTTCTGAGACACCAAACGTCAATTTTGTATTTTTAGGATTAATTCATATCGATGTTAAAATAATATATGATTAATATAAATTATACGTAGAGATACTTTAACACTTATGTTAGAAGTGTATTTGATAGTAAAAGATTAGAGATTTAGAATTTGATCAGGAACATATTATATTTACTTAATAATTGTGTGGAAATAAATAACTTATTTAATATAATATTGGGAATAGTTATAATTTATAAATATGAGTGAGCAAAATTTAATTTGTTCATCAATCCAACCCGGATCATGCTTGATTTATAAAAGTTCGAACTATACTTGGAACCATCTTAACCCATCCTAAATTTTTTTAAAATTTTTTTTAATAATTGCATATTAATAATTTTTTAAAATTATTTATACGCAATTATATTTATAGCGAGAGTCATGACCTTCATGGGCTCTATTCCTTATGAAGTTACTTTTTTTTTTTTTTCTAAATAAGCTTTGGATTTCTTTACTATGTTAGTATTATATCACTAGTTCATTATCATACTAACTCACTTGTTAATTTGAGTTGTCATTATATCATTAGAGTGTCATGTTATTCGTCTTTATCAATATTAAAGTGTTACATCATTATTATTATAATCTTTATAATTTCAAAAAAAATCTTATTTAATCATTATAATCAAATTTTATTATGAAATTTATCAAATATTATCGCATATACGATATCTTTGTTATTGTTAATGAAAATATTATATTAAGTTCTGCTGATGATGCATAATTATCTTAATTTGTGACTTTCAGATATATTATTAGTGATCTAATTAAGAAAGTAAAAAATCATTTTTAAAATTATATAGACTAAAAAAATAATTTTAAATTTGAGAGATCAAAAATAATTTATCCTAAATTTGAGAGACTAAAAATATATTTAAGTCTTTAATATTTTTTTTATTTAATTTCACATTACTTGTGTCAAAATTATTTCAGCCAAACAAAGCATTCGAAATTATTTTTTTAAAAACAAGTTATATACAAACTACTTAACATTAGATTTCTCAGAAAAATACATACTCTTTTGCTTCTATAAATATATGTAATCAATTACTATAATTTTAATGTACCTGGTCAAATTGTCGAGTTAAAAATATTACAATTAATCGCTTTCATTTGCAATTTGTCTATTGCATTGTTTTTATTAATTGTACCATTGGCAAAATGTTTATCATTATATGTGTGAGAGAATATTTTTCAATAATCGAAAGCATCCAAAATGAAATGACCGGACATAGTTCGAGGAAAGTTTATTGATCTATGTATTTTTATACATTATAAAATTTTAACATCACAAAAAAATTTTAAAAAAAAATTAATGACAAAATTTTGTGACGAAAATTACTTTTTGTCACATACTAGAGTTATATAAATTAATTTTATTGACATTTTTTTTTAAATTATTACATTATTTTTTCTTGTAATGATATAATTTTTAATTTGAATATAGATATGATCTCGTGAAAACCCAATAATATATTGTATAAGACGAAGTCAACTTATGTAAAGTCAAAATGTACCCAAAAAAAATTTAAATCAACTTAAGTTACTGACATAATAATGTACGGCTAAATTATCTTATAACTATATATACAAGTGTTTATTTTGTATAATTAAATTTTATAAAAATAAATATTTTTAAATATCAAAATTATATTATAAAATTTTAAAATAAGTAAATATATATAAAATATACAGATTAAATTTTAAAATCATAATAAATAATTTATTTTAGAAAATAAATTTATTTTTTATTATTGATAAAAATTGTGATGTAAAATTTATTGAAATAGGGTTTATTTCATTCAATAAAGTTTTTAATTTTCATATTCAACTAGTAGATGAACTCATCACAATATATCTAAGAAACTTAACTATCTAATAAATGTGTTAGAACTTATTACATATATAATTAGAGAAAAATACTAGTTATACTTTTTCTAACATTTTTTATATATTAATATCTTTACTTTATTGTTAGTTAAAAATTACAAATTATGGTGTGTTGTCATAACCAAGATTCTTGGCAATTACGTATAACATTAACAAAGAGGAAGTGGTAGCAGTATATAATGGGAAGGGAAGGAGTGGTGAACTGATTAAGATCAAGGAAGAGAAGGTAAAAGATGAGAAGCAGCAACCACTTGATCGGTCTGCTAAACTTCTTGACCTTCTTGTTGTCATTTCCAATCCTTGGTGGTGGGATATGGCTGAGCATAAGAGCCAACAACACTGAATGCCTCAAATTCCTTCAATGGCCTCTCATCATCATAGCACTCTGCATAATGGCCACTTCCCTAGCTGGTTTGACCGGTTCCTGTTACCGCAATCCCTTCCTCATGATCCTCTACCTCGTTCTCATGTTCTTCATAATCATTCTTCTCATCGGAATCATCACCTTTGCCTATGCTGTCACGGACAAAGGGTCGGGGAGGGAGGTGCAGAATCGCGTTTACTTGGAATATTACTTGCAGGACTATGAGGGTTGGTTGGAGAAACGTGTGGCCAGTGATAGATATTGGACAAAGGTTAGGTCTTGTGTTAGGGACTCTAAGGTTTGTGCTAAGCTTCGGAGAAAGGTGCCTCAAACTGCTGATATGTTCTACCACACAAACCTCTCTCCTATTCAGGTATTTTCCTTTTTCTGTCTCTATTTTTGGTTGAATTCTATTACATGGGTGATGTTTCTTGTTTGAGGATTTCTGATTTCAATCTCTTAAATAAGTTTTTGAATTTTAATATTATGTATAAAAAGATATAATTAAAAAAAAGATTTCATTACAAATAATAAGAATTAATTATCAACGCAAAATTATTTGGATACTTTATACTAATATATAGTTATCAAATACTGGTGATGTTCTTCTTCCAAGGATTTTTTTGAGCTAAATTAATTTGGGAAGGAAATTTCTCACGTAAGTTTGAAGAATTATTTTTTTGCGTTTTTTTTTTATTTTGTGTTTCCTTAAACCGGTACAAAATAATGTTTCGGGTTTTGTGTTTATTTTTTCCACTAGAAAGTTTTTGGGTTTTAATTTGTGCTTATAAAGGAAGTAGTAGTTATGCATCATATATTGAGAGAAGTTGAACGAAAAGAAGTGCATGCACTGCATGGGATGAGTAGATTTGATGAACCCTACTGCATGAGGGGACGATGGCTTTTGAGGTCAATCAACTGCTTGTTAACGAGGAGACATTATTACATGGTTTAGAATAATTTTGGTTGATTAATTTCCATGTGATAGGTATCTAAGATTTTTAATTTACAAAACAATAATAAAAATCAACTGCTTACATGGTTTTGAGGTCAATCAACTGTTTGTTAACGAGGAAACATTATTACATGGTTTAGAATAATTTTCGTTGATTAATTTCCATGTGATAGGTATCTAAGATTTTTAATTTACAAAAAATAATAAAAATCTTCGGTTACGTATGGGGCAAAGATTAATTAAAAACATGAATAGTGATGGTTTTAGAATCTTAGATGATATAATAATTCTTTGGATATTTTTTTTTTTAGATATATTATTTACTAGAATAAATTATTATAATATTTTTCTTCTTTTTTATCTTCCATCACATTGCTTATTTTATAATTTTTTCTTCTTCTAACTCTTTGTTACTTAATATAAGAAAACTTGTTCAAAGTCAACTTACAAGTGTAACTTTTTAAAATATATATTTTGAGAACAATAAAATCGGTTTAAGGAAAAAAGTTATTTCTTTTGATTTCAAAGTATGTCATTCGCAATAAATGTATATATAAAATAAAATAAAAACAACTAACATAAGACAAAAACTAAAGATAATTATATATAATATATAAATAATGTTAGTTTTTATGTTTAAATAATAAGATTGAATAAAAAAAAATGGTCAAAAGATGTAAGCTTTGGACAAGTAGCTGATTAAAGATTCGTATTATGGGGACGTCATTACTAAATATTAACTAAGATGTGTCACACTCTCATATTTTTAAATATCACATGATAACAAGACTAATAATAACAAGACTAATAAAAATAAGGTTTAAATATTTTTTTAATTCTTATAAAATTAATAATTATAATTTTGGTTCCTTTTATTTTTATTTTTATTTTTATATATTTTATCCTTTTAAAATTTATAAATATTATTTTTTATCCTTGTAAAATAAGTAAATTTTGATTTTGATCCTTATAAGTTATTTTTCTTTAATTTTCATTCCTCTAAAATTTAAACTAACTATTTTTAGTCCTTAATGATCATTATAAGGTGGATAAATAATATTCATTTTAAAGACTTATAAATTTTTTAGATGTGTTATATATCAATATAATATTGATAATGATTGTAGTTAACATTTAAGATAGTTACTTAACTTTTTAATAAATAAAAAGTAGTTAAAAATGATTATATAAAACTATGGACTAAAAACAACAATTTTAATTTTATAGGGATGAAAATAACAATTTTAATTTTACAGGACTAAAATCAAAACTTGTTAATTTTATAGGGATCAAAAATATATTTAAACCTAAAAACAATATTACATAGCAAGAATATATGATATCGTGACCAAAAACTAAGACTTTGTATGAAGACTGAAGAAAAAAAAACTTCTTATAAAGATTTAATTCTTCTAAATTTTAGACATATATTGTCTATAATTTTTTTTTAAAACCAACAATTTTATCAATTATAACCAATTGCACACAAGTGCTAATTGGGAAGTAATCCATGTCTTTTAATATGCTTTAAAAGTAAATTGTAACAAAGTTTTTACCTTTTAAAAACACATAAATTCACTCACATACCATACTTTCATGTGTTTTGTACTCAAGGCATAATAAAAAACACATAAACCCACTCTATTATTAGAAAATTATTGATAAAAATCATTTATGTTTTTTTGTTAGCCTTTGTCTTGAACCTGAAAATTTTCTCATGACTCCCTGTCCAACCTTTTATTAAATTGTCCACCACATGCTTGATAAAATGTTATTTCAAAGAAGCAACATTACCAAGAATTGCAAAAATCTACCACTTCAAAATAAAGTATCCATGTCCCTCAATAAAGGTCATGGTATATGTATATATATGGTTGTGTCATATTATTGATTAAGAATCAATAGATATGATTGAACCATATACTACTCCCAACATTGAAGTATGTAATTTTCATAGAAATTTGTACAACCATATACTATCCAGCAATATTTATACCTATATTTGATTTAAAAACACATAAATTCACTCGCAAACCATACTTTCATGTGTTTTGTACTCAACGCATAATAAAAAACACATAAACTCACTCTATTATTAGATAATTGTCGATAAAAATCATTTATGTTTTTTTTGTTAGCCTTTGTCTTGAACCTGAAAATTTTCTCACGACTTCCTGTCCAACCTTTTATTAAATTGTCCACCACATGCTTGATAAAATGTTATTTCAAAGAAGCAACATTACCAAGAATTGCAAAAATCTACCACTTCAAAATAAAGTATCCATGTCCCTCAACAAAGGTCATGGTATATGTATATATATGGTTGTGTCATATTATTGATTAAGAACCAGTAGATATGATTGAACCATATATACTACTCCCAACATTGAAGTATGTAATTTTCATAGAAATTTGTACAACCATATACTATCCACCAATATTTATACCTACATTTGATTTAAAGTATCTCATATCAATTTATTGTATCTAGTGGTGATGCAAGCTACTTGTTCTCCTTCCTTTTTTGATTTCACACATTGGTTGTAAGCTTTCATTATCCCAGTGAAGTCGAATACAAGTTTGGATGTTCCTTACCCATTGACTCAAGTTAAATTTTGTGGCCCTATTGACCTTATACAACCACCACTAGCAAAAGAGCATCACATTTGTATAATACCATCATGATCGAATGATGAACCATTAAAAAAGATGTTATGTTTCTTGCCCTCCACACTTTGCACAAGAATAAGCACCACATTTTCATCCATGCTTCCACATCTAACCCTTGCAACCTTAATTTGACATGATGTATAAAATTTTGTTTGGGATCTTGATGTAACACCATATATGCTCTATGCTCCCACCTACCTGTAATATGTCACTCATATTGGCTAAGTCTTACTACAATTAAAAAACACATGTGACAAGATCTCTTTTTCTTCCTAACAAAAAACACAATTATATTGGTCATTATCCAGTTATATTCCTCTTCTTCTCAATGTAGTCTTGAAATTGCTGGAAAAGCCTCCATATAAAGTGTATAACTTTAAACGGTATTGTTAATCGCTATAGTAAATTGTAGACTTCCTCTTCATTTTCACAAATTCTATTAGTGTCAATACCCAATATGTAGAAGAGACAACATAAAATAACTACTCATTTATTAGAAGTTAACTTACTTGTTAAAGGGTTTCAACTCAGACTTTCAAAGCATTGTAACGTATATCCACATAATGAGATATTTTAATTTCTAAAGTGTCTTTTACTCTCCTTTAGTTTTTATGCATCTCAACAAAGACATTTATCAATACCATATGCTTATCAACTTAACAACTTAATTAACTTGCATCATACAACTTCACAACTTAAACATCTATCAACTTACAATTTTACAGCATAAGCATCATTATACAACATATCAATTTACATCATAATAATTCATCATCATATAATCTTTATCATACCACTTAATCACATCTCTTCGCCATAAAAGAACTTAAGACATCATATTCAACAACATGCAATTAGTGCCCAACATCATCCCCTGAATGCCTAACGCCATTAAGGTAGGGAGTTTCCTGTCTTACCCACGTTCGACGTCAAATCACCTGCATCTGGCATGACTAAGATAGAGAGTCTCCCACTCTCTCACGTCTAGTGTGGAAAAACCCATGCTCAATCTTAATCATACAGAGGAAGGACTCAACTTGATCCTCATCCAACACCACTCCTTTGGCGTTTTGCGTGATTTCAACTTGAAACGATTCTATCTCCTTGCATCTAGTGCCACCAATCATGTTCTTAGTGTCAAGAGAATGAGAACCCTTAATTTCGAACCACGCTTGATGTTATGAAGGCACACTCGACACAATATCAAATTTTGCACTTATGTAGAAACTGATTTCGGCCAATCCACCTAAAATCCAACATGCAACATAGGATTCAACATCTATACATTATATGTAACTCAAAAACAACTTAAAAAGGCACTTGCAACCAACAATTTGCAAGAATCATCAACTATACTTCACAAGCAACACTTCAAGAAAACTCAACTTCATCAATCTTTAACCCATGATTTTCAAACAACAATAACACTAAATTGATGATTTTAGGCTCCAACAATCATACATTAATATTAATTCAAAAACAAGTTTCCCTTACCTCTTCAATTCAAACCGAGAAGAAAGAAGAGGAAGAACAATCAATCTACCTCAAACAGTTGTAGGAGAAGATGGAGATGAATCAGGGGAATAAGGAATTTTGAAAAGAGTTTTCAGGTTTTTAGAAAATCCCTCCCTAGCTTCTCTATAGTTTTCCTTAAAATATGAGCTTATAAAGTTTACATTTTAAGAAAAACTTTATATACCCTTAATTCAATTTACTCAACTAACTCTAACTACAACTAACTCAGAAATAGTTTAACTCTCAAGGACTCCCAAACCATCTAGGTTTTAAAAACCACAAAACTAACAATAATTAGCAACTAATCATATAATTAAACCAAAGCAACTTAAAATCACCAATGTTACATTTTGATTCCTTTTGTGACTAATTCAAGACTTGAAATTTGTCTCATAAGATTCACTTGTATACAAACTTACAATTGAAGTTCAAACTAAATGTGTAATAAATATGGTGAAAATAAAAATTTCAAAAAAATTAATTTCATATTATTTTTCAATTACTCACAAAATATAATTTTCACATGATTTTCACTATGTTTATTTCCCTTTTGGGTTTTGAAGTCAATTGCATTTCACAGTTTTCATATAGGTGAATCTAATATTATAAGTTTCACATTTTAAATCAGTTAAAAATAATTCAAAATCATGTTGTAAAATTAAAAATAATCATTTTTTTTAAAATTAAATTGATTCAAATAAAAAAGATAAATAATCAAAATAAACGTTTTAACAAATAAAAAGACCGAAATAAATATAAAAAAATAAGATAAAGTATCAAAAATATAATTTAATAAAAAAATATTTAAATTTTTTATAAAGATGTAGATAAGTTATACAGACCAAAATTTTAAGTCATATTTATTTATGTAACTATAAATTAAATTTTTATCATATAAAAATTAGACGAATTGTCTTCCGTAGATATAACTATAAATTATAATGACTAAATATATTTAATGTTTGAATTTAATGGTTTAGTTAAATCAACATTTATTACTCCATTATTATTTTGAATACGTCTCACACTTTAGACTAACAATATTTTGTTCTCTTCTATGCGTAGTTGCCTACCAACTTCGTTTCCCCATTCCAGTGATAAGTTTTTTTTTTTTTAAATTGGTTTTGGGCTTCACTGAACTCCATTCTCTTTTCAGCATATAGTTGCTAAAAAAATGTGTGGATGGAGTTGGGGGTCACATTAAATAATCGTCTATGAGAAATTTATTTATTTATTGTATCAAATGACGATATTATTTGTAAAAGATTTTTTTTTTAATAGAATGCAATAAATATTACTTATATAGACATTTGAACTTGAGATGTTGGGTAGCCATTGTAATTTAAGTGGGACATTCCGACTCTTTTTCTTTCGCTAGTATAATATATGTGCGATGCCGAACGACAATTAAAAATTAAAAGGAGGAAAAAAATATTATGAACTAAATACATATTTAATTTCATAAATTTACATTTAATATAAAATTATTAAACAATGTAATACTTATTTAAAAATTACATCGATATTATTATATCGATTTTATATATATATTGCTCCTTATTACCTTTAAGATAATGATATTTTATCTTTCTTATAAATCCTGATAGATGACAAAGGAAGATAATGGCATCACAATATAGTTGTTGTTTTGTCACGTCTTCTTGCTCACAGATTTTCAGCTTTATAATGAATATACATTTTTCTATATCTTATCATCTCACTTTTATTTTTTTTTTGTTTTAAATGGTAGATTAAGATTTAACAATTTTTGGGCCCTTGGGCCAGTGCTTGGTCCGCACGTGTAATACACGCGGCCATGCCGAATGCATAGAGTATGAGTAACTAATTAAATCAACGGAAAAATATCTTCTCACTTTTGATTCCGGGCCATTACGTATTCTCCGACTCTGGAAATTACTTATTTTCTTATATATTATTTTTAATATTATTTTTAAAGAAAAATGTACTAAATAATATTAATTTTACGTGTGTTTCTTTTATAAAAAAAAAAAAAAAAATTAGCCTACTTTTCGCCCCTCCACTCAAAATTTCTGAGCCACTAAACACATGATGAATGTAATTATAAAAATCTACAAACTCATCATACTCATTATACATGTTGATTTAAAATTAGATAAGAAAGAAAAACTATTTTATATTATTAGTGCACAATATTTTTTCTCATAAATCAATCCAAAAAATACACTATGACAGGTGATTAATTGAAGAAATATATGTCATCCAGTTTTGTGTTTAATTGTAGTCTGGATGTTGCAAGCCTCCAACAGAATGTGGGTATGCGTATCAGAATGAAACAATGTGGAGCCCAGAAGGAGGAGTGATTGGAACCAGTCCAGATTGCAGTAGGTGGAGCAATGACCAAAACTTGCTTTGTTATGAATGTGACTCTTGCAAGGCTGGTGTGTTAGCTACTCTCAAGAAAAGTTGGAGGAAGGTCTCTGTGATTAATATTGTTTTGTTGATTTCCCTTCTCATTGTTTACGCCATCGCTTATAAAGCTTATACAAACAATCGCAAGATAAATAACTGCGAACCCTGCGGTGAAACAAGGATGATAAAATTACAACCTAGTTAACATTAAAGGGTGTGTTATTAAGTGACATATCTCAAGTCTTAGAATGATTTTATATACCCTTGTATCTCTATGTTGCCATCTGCTCCTGTGCCGATGAGTTTTTACCTTAAATTTGGGTTGATCTTGGAGGGGTGTATTGCTATATTATCGTGATGGTAGTTACATTAGTACAAGCAACTTCAATCCCTCCTAAGAAAAAGCTATTCCCTTTTGTAATTTATTGAAATTGAGTACAATAGCTTTGTACATTATATATAAAAAAAAAATGTTTTATGGTATATTATCGAATATATTAGTCAAAAGTTGAAAATAAGGAGTACATTTTGTTTAAGTACAAGTGTGAATAAAAAGTCCTAAATTAGATAAATATGAGCGTATTGAGCAACATAAGTGACAAAAATTTATATATTGCTATTAAGGTTTAATGTTAAAATGTGATATTAAATTCATTTGTGTAGCTATTTATATTCATTGATGGACTTTTCATCAGGGTTTAATTTTCTCATATCCCTAACAATTGGTATCAGAGCTTATTGTTCAACCAGTGACTAACTTAGATGAGTATTAGACAGTATAATTAATGATGAATCCATGTAGGTCAAGTGGTGTATTCTATTGATGTGAGCTAACGATAATGCAATATCTAATATCATATTAGTTGAGCTTTAAGAGCCTAATGAGTGGTGCAAATATCTAAAACCTATTAATAATGATAGTTACTCTTAGGCTACAATTTTAATACTTATAGAAGAACAAAACTTTTAGTTGAAAGTGCGATTGTTGAAGTGTAAGTGTGATTGAGAAGTCTCACATTGGATAGAGATAAATATGTTGAATAATATATATAAGTGACAAAAATTTATGAATTTGATGTCTTAAAATTTTGGGTTAAAATATTGTGTTGAGTTCATTCCAGTGACGTAAAACAAAAAATGTGTATTTGAAGTAATAATATGTTAAAAAAAACACTTGCTTCTCTTTTCATGTTCATTCAACAAGTTTTTATTATTTTAATTTTTTATTTTACATGTACACCACAATTTGAGTTATCACTAACAAACCAAACACACACAATTTGAAGATCTACGAAATCTTATTGGCTCTCTATCCCATAGTCATAAGGATGACATCCTTTCTCTACTATTTTAAGTAAAAAAAAATAAACACACAAAATAATTTGTGAAATTGAAAAAAAAAATAAATAAAAGATGAGAAAATATATCTTAATCATTTACGTCATTTAGTTTTTAAATCAATTATTTTGAAAACAATTTTCAAAACTAAATAAAGTTTGAGTGAGAATCGATTACTAGAAAGTAAATATTGTTAAAATATTTTAGAAAATAATTTTAAAAAATGAAAAGTGAGAGAGCGAAAAAATCAAACATACCCTAATTCTTTGATAATCAAGTGAGTTTTATCTCCTTTAATAAATTTGTATACACAAATAGGAATGAAAATAAATGTCAATTAGTATAATTAATTAAAAAGGACTTCGCTATGTAACATAAATAATTGTCTTAGATTTTATTAATAATTCGAATGAAAAAAACATTTTAGTGTGGGTCATATATAACATTGACCAATGATGCTACTTTATAATTATTTATATTTTTTTTAATAATTTCGTTATTATTAGTAGAAAACATATGGCTAACATTTCTATTATGAAAGTTCAACAGTTAAAAATACAGAATAATGTACCAAAAGCTAACTCCAACGAAATATGCAACATTGCGCAAAATAAAGCATATATCTTATTATGTAATTTACATGCATCTTATTATGTGATTAGCCAACTGAATTGGAAATGGATTTGAAATTAAACTTGAAATTTTTTAATTATTACGTTTAAAATTCCTTTTAATATGAAATAAAAATATCAAGGTCGAATCCCATAAAATTATAAAAGTAATTAAAATTAATATTTTACAAATTATACGCCTTGTCCTCTATTTTTTTTATCTTACCCTATGTTACAAGGTTGTTCTTTATTATGTCATTCCTATAATTACTTCATCATTATTATCATTTTTATTAACTAATATTATTAATTATTATCGTCGTCAATTCTTGTATAATATTATACAATTTTTATTAATTATTGTTGATTTTGTTAATTTTTATACTTGTGATAATTTGGTTGTTTAATTGTTAAAAGTTCTAAGAATTTAGAAATTCTCAATAGTTTTAGTTGTTTATAAGTATTTCTAAGCATAAGTTTTTGACCTGTAAATAAAAAGTTATATAAAATTCCTTTTAAGCTTCATAAGTTTTTTTTACGACGTTGGTGTGAGTCAGACAGAGACTCTCCGTTTGAAATAGGATCGGATATGGGTTTAATCACATCAGACATGATTGTCACATGGGCTTTTTGCCTCATCCATGTCAAGCAGAAGTTGAGTGACAGTGGACATTGATGAGCTAAAGACTTTCTACTTCAATGACACCAAGTGCGGGAAGAATAGCACCGGGCGTAGGTTGCTTAATTAAAATATGTTGTTTTCTTACATAAGTGTTGAATATGTATAGGTTAGTTGAATTTATTACATGATGTATGATAATATATGTTGATAATTCTTTACATTGATATGAGATAATGTATATTGATGATTAAAGTATTGAAAATTGTAAGTTGGGTTGTATATTGTACAATTGAGGTGGCTGTGTTGAAAATGCTTAAGATATTAAATTGTGTTGTGTTGATCGATTTAGGGTTAGAGGAGAGGTTGTTTAAAATTTGGATTTCTCATTGTGAGGATATTCTTGTGGTTTAATTTCTACAAGTCCAATTTGTTGAAAACTCTTATTGAGAAGTTGATTCTTGAAGTTAACAGTTGAGTTTCTTCTAAGACCTTAGTTATACGATATGAGGCAAAGTTAAGTCATACCATCTATAAGTGACCATAGTATAGGGGTTAGGTCGAGTTATTGTAATTATTAAGTGACTAAATTGAACATGGTACAAGGTTGGAAGCCATAGTTAAGGATGAGAACATATCAAATCTTAAATAAAGGCCTATGACCTGACTTGTACATTTTTATCCAAAAATTGGTTGTTGATCTAACTAGAATAAAAATACTGCATTATTTTTTATTCGGTAAAGTTAAGTCACTTAGACTACTCACCTTTGTTGTAACAAATCTCTTAATTGAATGTGTGACGACACTTATAATTGTTATGTATGATGTGTTGAATTGAATTGTGTTATTCGTATGCTATGTTGAATGGATGAGTTGCCTCGTTGTTTGATAAAATGTTGAAGTCAATTGGGTTGTTTGTGATGGTAGTTTAGTTGTTTTTACTTCTATACTTATTTTGTTGATTCTTTTGAACATTAACTTACCTTTATACATTCCTTGTGGTTGGATTATGATAATCATATTTATATAGGAGCAAGACAAGGATAGGCCAAATGCGAATGTTGAGTCAAGAGCCATGCTAAATTGATGATATAGCTTGGTGATACCTTTTGTAGTTATTTTTGGTAGTGTTGTTTAACTTGCAACCTAAGTTTACATTTTAGATTTTGGATTACTGTAGATATATATGTGTACAAGATATGATGTAATTTTATTGAGAAGCATTTACACTTAAGTTGATTTTATTCATATACATATAATATTACATGTATTTTCTAAGAAATGTTGCATGTTAACCTTAGGTAGATGAATTATATTTTTTTGCTACCAATAGTTAAATCATTAAGTATAGAGACTATGATGAGTCATTACACCTTGCATCTACGATCTATACTATTATTACCCTTAACATTATCATTGTTTGTCAATGTTATTTTTATTTAGTAGAAAATAAACACCTACTATTTCTATGAATTTTATTTAAAATAATATAAAAAATAAAAAATTAGAGATTACATGATGTAAATCAAGTGAGATAATATATAATTAGAGAATATTAAAATAATTTAAACAACAATAAGGATTAAAAGTATTACAAAATAAGTGAGTAATATATTTATAACAATATATAAAAGAGATAGAACTATTTGGTAGGAATGGCAACGGGGCGGGGCGGGTACGGATTTCATGATACCCGTCCCCGCGAGCCAAAC